GGTGGTCGCCTACTGTACAAAAGATTATTTTGATGTTGTTGGAATCGCAGAATGATTTGAAGTCTTGACTTGTAAAGCAAGTAGCGTGATCTACCCTTATAGAATAAGGTATCCCGTGTAAGAATATGTAGTCTTGTAAAAATTCTACAACTGTTTTTGAAGAAGTAGACGATGTAATTTTTGCCGACGGGAATTTAGAAAATCTGTCGATACAAAGTAAAATGTATTTCTTTGACCCCCAGTAAGAATCCAAAGGACCCGCGAAATCTAAATTAAGTTCTTCGTTCGGTTCCGATAGTGGAGGAAGTTCACTAATTTGTGACTTAGGAATGACAGTTTTCAAATTCTTACCCGCCGATGTACATTCTGAGCAATTTATTCCGTGAAAGTAGATTTGCCTGTTAATATGAGGCCACCAGATGTATTGAGCCAAGTATTTCATTCCAAATTGACCTGGATGTGTTTCGTGGAGGGTCTTCATCATTGCGCTTCGTAAAGTAAATGGAATAACGAGTTTACCGTCCATATAGAGCAATCCGTCGGATTCGTGCAGGTCTCGGGTGAAATGTTTGAAATACGGAGAATCTGCATTAATCTTCTCCACCTTATTTTGAAGTGCTTTAACAATTGGGCTTAACATGGGATCGTCTTCTGTCAAGAGAGCTACTAACTTGGCGTTAAATAAAATATTTAAATCCAAGGGTCGATCCGGCAACTTCAAGTTTTCGCGGTATTTTTTAACGAGATTAGCGTGGTCTGGTAAAAGTTGAAAGTCTAAATCTACGGAAATACCGGAAGTGGCGGGATTAATTACAATATTATTATTATTCATATTAACAGTATCTACAATTTTTTTATCTACAGGTGAATTAATTAAACTACAATTAGAGATTAAAAAATAAAGAAATGCGGAATTAGAAATGGAAATAATTAATGTATTTGTATTAGAATAATCCGTTGGAATGCAATTTGAAGTACAAAATTCTGTTCTTTTGTGATTAAATGAGCAAATTGGAAAAAACGAGTTAATGAGTTTTAACACTGCTGCTATTAGGTAATTACGTAATAAAGCGTAATCGGAATTTTCCAGATTAAAACCAATAGCTGAGCAGGTAGTTCTTAGTTTCTCCGACGGATTTAATGATTTATTAATCTTATTAATGTTTGCTACTACGAATTCTTCATCGTAATGTGATATTGGAAGAGCTTTTCGTGATGGAATTCTAGAAATAAGGTCAGTGAAACCCATGTCTTTTCCTGCGATATGTTTGATAGAGAAATTAAAAGGTAATAATCTGTCTACCCATCTTGTTAGTCTACTGTGGTAAGTTTTATTCCCGTGGTTTGGTGATAAAGCGGATAATAAAGCTTTGTGATCAGTAATTACTTCGAAATCTGATCCGTAAAGGTAGTTCTTATAATGTTCGACGGCCCATACAACCCCTAGTAGTTCGATTTCGTTCGTAGAATATTTAGACTCGTGAGGGTTTAAAAAGCGTGAAGCAAATGAGATAGTTTTCCAATCGCTCCCATGAAGTTGTTCAAGCGAAGCTCCGAGTCCATTATGTGACGCGTCTGTTTTTACTCTAGTTTTACGTTTCACGTCAAAATGGGTATTCTCTGTTAGGTTTACGATTTCTTCTTTAATTTTTTCAAACGCTTTTGTATGGTCATCGTTCCATTGGAATATTGATTTCTTATTTAGAAGCGGTCGGAGTGGGCTTCCTAAGGATGCTAAGTTTGGGACGAATTTAATGTATTGGTTTATAGAACCAAAAAATGATCGTAGTTCTTTCAAATTCTTCGGAATAGGTAGATCTTTTATGGCTTTCGATTTGTCGAATAATGGGGTAATACCTGATTTAGAGATTTTGAATCCCAACCATTCTATTTCTTTTTGAAAGAATTTACATTTTGACCATTTCACCGCGAAATTGTATTCGTCGAGGGTCGATAAAATTTTTAATACAATATTCTTGTGGTCTAAGAATGAGCCTTTGGAAGAGATTAAAATGTCGTCCAAGTAACAGTTAGTAAATGGGATTGAACCTAACGTAGAGTCCATTACTCTTTGAAATTCGTTAGGCATATCCCCTAAGCCGTAAAAACCAGTTAAAAATTGGTAAGTACCCGTTATATCACCACCCACGATACTGAAGTTACATTGGTTACTAGTGAATTTATCTAGTGCTAATTGGCTGTACGCGTTTTTTAAGTCTAAGTTAGTAAACCACACTTCTCCAACGGAATCATTAGTAATTTGTGCCGCGACATTGTCTACCAGTTCGTGGATGTTTGGCATTTGATATTTGTTCTTGTAAATCTGTTTGTTTATGAAGTTGGAATCTAAGGCTAATTTGATGGATTTATCTTTTTTACAAGTGATGACTATTGGGCTAATAAATCTGTCTTCATCGCAGTTTTCTAATTTTTTAATATGTTCTTCCGCTTTTAGTCTATTGAGTTCTGTCTTTACCGCGTCCAGTAAGTGAAGGGGGACTCGTCTTCCCTTTAGTTGGATTGGTTTTAAGGGTTCATGGAAATGGGTGATTTTCATCTGATTTTTAATTTTTCCAATCCGAAGGAATAAATTTTTGAATGGTTTTGTTATATTCAGAATTTCCCTATCTTGGTTTGTTTGAGAGATGGAATTTATTGACTTACACTGCTTGTTAGTCTGAAAGTGTGGGAAGTGTTTCTGAGAGACTTCTATCCCCACTTTTGGAAGGTTGTCGTTTCCTAAGATATTTCTCTCGTGTCCCTCGGTTAGGAAGAATTGACAGTCGTTGTCTGACCAACCATTTGAAAATATCGGAAGCTTCACCTTTCCAGTGACGTTTATGGCATTATCTGTGAATCCACAGTATAGGTCTCTAGTTGGCTTATCCACTGGATAAATTTTCAAGTAGGGATCTCGTAACTTTAATTCGTGAAGTACGTTTTTCTTAAGGAAGCTCACCGGGCTAGCTGAATCCACTTGAATGTTTAAAATTACTTGGTTTTCTTTTCCGAGTCCAATGTTCAATAATTTCTTCAATTCTTTTCCATCGTTATCAAAAATCGTAGTTACATTTAGTACAGAATAATCGTCGTTTTCGCTTTGTCCAGATTCTGACCATGCGTTTATGACGCCACAACATTCTCTATCCATGAGGTCAGTATTTACATCCGGAATATCCGACGGATTAAAATCTGTATTATCTACAATTTGGGTATTTACAATGTTTACATTTTTGCGACGAGATCTACAAAGTCTGGTGAAATGTCCTTTGAATTTACAAGAAGTACAAGTCGTGTCCTTTGCTGGGCAAACTGCTAAGTGACCTTTTGAGAATAATCCGCCACACTTCATACAGTTGTTACTCCTTTCGATGTTAAGGGTTGGTTCTCTTTTGACGTTAAAGTGGTTGCTTGGTTTGTGTACGGATGATCCGTTGGATTTAAAATTATTGGTTAACTTCAAGTGATTTAAAATTCCTTTTTCGTCTATGAGTGCTACATTTAGTGCTTCGCGTGGAGGGAGGGTTTCTGTTAACAATTTCGTTTGGATGTCGTAGTTTTTCATATTATTTATGAAAATATCTCTTATCCACTCTTCTTCTCCTGCGGTTATGTCGCACTTTGTCGCCATTTCAGCTAAGGCACCCCAAAATTGTTCGAGGGATTCTCTATCGCGTTGTTTTCTATTTAACAGTTTATGTCGTTCAAATGTGACATTTGTTTTTCTTACGAAAGCGATCGCTAAGAACTCCCAGAATTCCTTAAAAGAATTCCGAAACCTTGGTAAATTTTTGTCCGAAGATCCTTTTTCCTTCATTTCCCAGTGCCAGATATAAAACCGAACGTAATTTCTTGTCTGCTTCTTCTATTCGCATTCCGTTGAATTTCTTGGTTTCGGTTTTTATCGATGCTGTTTCTTCTTCGTCATATCGTCTTTGTTCTTGGGAATTTCTCTCCAATCTCGAGCGTCTTTGAGTATCTGTTTCACCGTCCGTTGAGTTTTCCAAATTTGGAGGTAGTGGGTGTTGTCTCTCCGACGGATCGAGTAGATTTTCTATATCTATGTTTTCCTTAGCAATTATAGCTAATTGAAACAGATCACTCCAGTCTTCCCATGGGATGGGTGGGTCTACCGTATGGTTTTGCCAAAAAGGAGGTATTCCTCTCACGTTAGATTCGTTAGATGACTGCGCCATGATGAAATGTTACTTTGTTGTAGCTAATTCTAGGTTAAAACTATTAAAAAGAATAAGAATTAAGATGAATTAGTCGATAAGTTAAAACATTAAAACAATGAGAGATCATTCTCTCCGCCGGAGAGAATGGCTAATGAAGGTCATATATGAGTGACCGGTTAATTAACTAAGTATGTTTTGCAATAATTGCAAAACCTGATGTAAGATCACAACACCCCACATGGTTGATATTCAAAATTGGATCATTACACACGAATCTGATTAATTGAAATCAATCATTTTGAAAGGAGGTTGAAAATTTAATTTCAAATTGATAGATCATCTTAGCATTTTGGTTATTTTTGGCACAATAACAGAAAAAATCCGGCCTAAGTTTAAAGATTTTGAAAAGATCCTGAAGATCTTTTTCTTAAACTGTCGAAATTTGAGAAAAGGAAAAATCTAAAATTGGGAGTATCACTACTTGCTTTTATTTAATGATGATGAACGAAGTGATTCATCACTTATTGTTCCGACCATTGAAAATGGGGAGGAACTTTTTATTCGGGTGATTTTTTTTCTACATGATAAATCATGTACCACAAACAATCATCGGAATAGGTCGAGCGATAGATCGTACTAAAGCCTTTTCAATCGTATTTTGAACGATATCTAAAGAAATGTTAGGCTTTTAGGTTACGAAAGCTTAATCTTATACTAGTTTTAGAAGTTCCATTCAGCGCCTCCATGGCAATAGTTATTCATGTGGTTGAGTTGACATTATTTTGGACTGTATTAGTAAACTATCGCATCTGTTCTGCTTAGGTGCTGATATCAACTCTCCCGGAAGTCTGGGTGATCAGATGAAAGACGTCGTCATTACCACCTCTGTAGTTCAGACTATCTCCTGTCTCTTTTCGAATTACCTAGTCATCCTCTGGACTTTTATCCCCGGACGTGCTTTTTATCTACTCTGGGTATATATAATTCACCCTTATATTACTTCCGGTTCTGGAACAGAAGGTCAGCAGGACAATGAAGGGATAGATCCAAAGAAACAGAAAAAACAGAGAATGAAAGTTGTGAGAAATTGACGATTTGTCGTTTATTTTTCGAAGAAAGCTAGGCCGAGTTGCTTGTTGCGATGGTTGTTTGTTTATGATAATAGTAAATGTACAATTTATACAATATTAGGTTTTGTAAATATTATCAGGTTTCTTTATTTATTTGTCCATCAATGAACAAAATTTGTTGATATTTGAATTAACTGTTGCAGTATCAATTTCTCTTTTGAAAAGAGTTATTTTCTGAGAAAAGCAAAAATACAGTTGTTCAAAGTTTCGATATGAAATGCGCGATCAATAAAAAAGCATTTTCACCTCGAGTTTTTTCAGGTGTCGCAATGAGCTCTGAAAAGATTGAAATATCTGCGGCTAAAATGGAAGAAGCTGTTGAATCAGAACCTCTCAAAGTTCCCGAGGAGACTGCGAAAGAAGAAAACGCAATGGATACCAAGACTGATTCGGTTCCGGAGACTGAATCGAACAAGACAGAGACAGATTCAGAAGAGAAAGAAGATAGCTCAGTCATAAATTCGGAGCCCTCGGTTAAAATTGACTCGACTGATTCAGAGAGCAAAATCGACTCCGCGGAGGTTGCAAAACCAGACCAAGAAGTGATATCTGTGGAGCGTCTGTATGAAATATGCGAAACATTAGATTCCATGTCCAAGTCCAACCCGGATAAGATGTACTCTTACGAAGGACTTTTCCGGGAGCTCCTGGGAGGAGTGAAAGGGGAAAAGAAACAAAAACAACTGTCTTGTCAATTTATAATGAGATTTTTCAAGTTTTTTAGTACCTCCCAACCCTTGTTAGAATTAACCTTAGACGCACTTTTTGACCTATGTGAAGATCTAGACGCGGCTATTAGGCGTCAAGCTATTAAAGAGTTGCCCAATATTTGTAAAAGTGTACCGGAAACAGTTGCCCGTATTTCAGACATTTTAGCCCAGCTTCTCCAAGCTGAGGATTCGGTTGAGTATGCTTTCGTCCAGACGTCACTTCTACAGCTGGTCAAAATCAACGCAAAGGTGAGAGATTTTTTATACATTGTTTATCATTAAAATTGAAAACTTATTTCGCTTGACGCTATCTACTTTCATAAATAAATGTTTCCGCAGAACTTCTGCCAATCTATTGTTTTAACATATTTTGTTTCTTCAAGGAATGTCTGTTGGCGCTGTTTGTTCAAATTTTGACGGCCAGCGAGACCGGAGGAGAAATCATACGAGAGAGGACAATCAAATTTTTGGCCACAAAACTGCCATCACTCTCGCCAGATATCCTGACACCAGAAATTGAGACTCTTCTCATTGCAAAAATCCAGGAAACATTACTAGATGTCACATGCCACGAGTTCAGTACGTTTATTAAGATACTCGCATCACTGAGACAGCTCCAGCAAACTGAAGGTCGAGCCAGATTGATTGAGATGATAGCTAATCAGGCTGGAATTTCGGACGATAAGAGTTCGGATTTTGATCCGAAAGATGAAGAAAAAGTGGCAATTTTGGTGCAGTGTACAAAACAAGCTTTGGATTTCTTTTCACGCAGTTTACCTAGCACGAAATTTACGAGCTATTTTTGCACCACTGTTCTGCCGAGTATTTGGGAGCTTCCAGAAAACTCAGATAGTCCAGATCGAAATGGAATGCCGACTCAAGTGGATGTCTTGAAGCTTTTAGCCGAGTTGTCAGTAAACAGTGGTGCGTTGGACAATGTTTGTATAGAGCATGTTTATAATGCACTCGTTAGGTTGTTACCTGAGAAACCGACAGCTGAGGAAGGTGGAAAGTCTAGTGGAGGTGCTTCTTTGCCTAACTTAATGTTGTCACATTTGGAATGTGTCTTATTCATTTATCACACACTTGCTCGCCAACCCTCTTATATAACGCTGGAGCAATCTAAGAATAATTTGAAGAAATTGAAACCGAGTTTGACATTTTTGGCTTCCGGGATTCAAAGCTACATTCAAAAACTGAGAGAGGATGTTGCACTGTACTCACAAGAAGAGTTGAAGGAGCCAGAAAATAGTCTAAAACTTACAGCATTGAAAGTAACTCTGAATATCACTCTGATTATAAAAGAATTGGCACGCTCTCCTCCCTCATTCCAGGAAATTGTTACGTTGTCATGGAAACGAGCTACCCAAGTGTCTGGAAACAAAGCTGCGGTGAAAAGGAAATCACAACAAGGTGGACACAATTCTCACGACCGGAGGGGAGACGAAACTGAAGCGGGGTCAAGTGACGCCAGAGGTCAAAGGTATAATCCACCTTCGGGAAAATATAGCAAGCAGGTCAACTCTTATGAATCGAAATACAAACCGGGATTCAAAGGAAGCAAGTATAAACTGGGAGTATACTACGCCTGAAAAAAATAAAAAACTGAAGATAGTAAAAGATTGAAGAACAGAAATCTAACTGAATTCAATTTCGTATACGTGCAAAATTTAGTTATTATGTTCTGATGAATTTCATCTGAAAATTCAGTGTTTCTTGTTTGTTTTCAATATTTTTTTTGCATAAATCTATGCAACGTTTGTGGGAGTTTAACTGGAACTTCTACATAAAAATCAAGTTATCTTGAAAGGCAAAATCTACTTTGAAACTCACAATCAACAGTAACTGATTGTTAAGCAAGAGCGCACAGTGTTCGCACTCGAATTTTTTTGAAATGATTATTTTTCAACACATTGAAATTATCACCTAAATTCAAAATTTATTGTTATCAAAGTGGGTGTGGGTCTAAGAAAAATATTTAATGCGTTTAATGCATATTCCTACGTTATGGTATTAAAACAGTGTCTTTTTTCTTTTTCCTAAGCAGCCTTATTTTGTTTTTTTTTCTTAAAAAGTTCTCGAAAACGTTTAAGTGAAACATTCTGAAAAAATATGCCTCAATTTTTTTCAGCAATATGGCTTTTGCTTTTATTTTGAGTCTCTTTGATTCTTACACAAATCAATCAATTCTTATTTTTCGTCCTGGCTTATTAGCGCCTGTAGTTGACAATTTTAATCTTTTTTGTGTGTCTGAAACAAGGATGGTTTTTAGGGTTGTTTTTGTTTCATATATGTTTGACCAGTTGAATCAAGGAAAAGGTGAAAATTTTTCGAGCAATTTGTGTAATTTTTTTTCGACCGCTTAGTTTTTATGTGCTTTTTTCGAGTGAAATGTAAAAATTAACCTTGAATCAATCGTTGATAATAAACAACTCACGTAAGAAAGAATAAGGCAAATATCACTTCCTTATGTCACGGAAAAACCATTTTTAGCCAATGGTTTTTCAAGAAATTGGCTAAAAATATGTTCATGTTCGAATTTCTTTTCTAACTATCTGGCTTCGAGTCATTTTTGAGTTCAAATCGTTTTCATTTGCTAAATAAAACACACCTAAAATCCTGTATGCGAACAGTGAAAAAAAAAGACACTTGACCGAAGATTAAGTTATGGCCTAAGTTTTCATTAGAAGTTTTGCATTAGATCATTGCAGTTGATTATCACTTTTTAATGATCTGATGGCTGTTTTGTTTCTTTTTTTAATCTAAACAACCTAAACTACTTTTGAGAAATATGTTTTCTACAATTCAACTTTTCAAAGAACTCAGGTATTATAAGAATTTTTTTTTCTTGATTTTTTGATATGAAAGTTGTTTTGTAATTTTGTTAAAAGCACAATAACACAGCTATTGGCACATTGATTGTAAAAATTTGAGAGTTGAAAGAAAACAATTTTTGTTTTAGTTAAAACATGGTCTAGATGCGTGAATTAAATTAAAGTTGATTTCACAGTGGGTAACTTTGTTAGAGTTCGCACTTTCTTTGAAAGTGGAAGAGCAAGATGAAATAAGGGCATAACAGATACATTTCTTGCAACTCAGTCTGGAAAAATGATAATTTTGGACCACATTTTTTCTCACCAGGCTGATAATAAATTAGTGAATATATTCTCCAATTGTGTTCCGGGCTTGAAGCATGACAACTGATATTTTGGGATTCGTTCCTGGACACTGATCTGTATTGAGGTATTCCAAATGGGCTGAAAAAAACCCAACTCACGCTGCCAATTTTTTTTCACATTTTAAAATACTTTTCAACTTGAGTCCAGCGCACAAAGCTGAAGCTGATTTTGTTCATGCGGGTTTTAAAATCAAATTTTTTTATGTTTTGAATCAACCCAAAAGTTTTCTGATCTTCTAATTATTCTACAAATTTGTACTACAAGATGGTGTTTCCAGTACATTTAATTACTAAAAGTTATCGGGGCCATGAATTATTTGAATTTTTGAGGGGCTCCCACATCCCCCGCTCCTGGGTATCAATTTTAGATTAGTTTTTCATCAGCTTTAGATTCATCAAAGGCAAAAACTCAAAAAATTATTACTTGGAGTTTAAATTGACGCAAAATGGCCCAAACCTTTGAAACTAGAACTAAACTTTTAAGCAAAAAAAAAACTATATTATTTGAAGTCGGAGTTGGCTTACAGCCAAGATATAGTCGAACTCCTACAGAAACTGAATTAAAAACGCATTTTTGCTCAAAATATGTCTTTTGTTTTGATGATTAATTAGGATGACTGCTCGCACGAAATTATTCAGTGATTTTGTAAGTCAATTGCTAATCGAAAGTGTAGTCAAAAGTCTTGTTTTCCGTTTCGCTGAGTTATAACAAACAATCAGCTGTTTGCTATGTTCGGTTGGAAGTACTTATCAAAAAAACAGGGGGGATTACGGTCGAGCGTGTTAGAGAATGCTTTTTTGTTGGCGATTGGACCTCCTTGCAATTAAAAGGGTCCATTTTTGCTACTATCTTGCAGCATTTTTTTACTGTTCACAGTAGTAATTTTCCATGAAATTTTTTGGTGATATAGATGAATTTATAACTGATGCAAGTTTTATGCGTGAAGTTAGTTTTCTGAGACAAAACTGGAGTGTGCACGGCAATTTGCAAAGCTCAACAAATTGCCAAAACGCAGGAAAATAATGCTGTTATGGTAATTATTTCCGGATGTTTTGGTCTCAGTAATTTTGCTTTCATTGCATACATCTACCTTATGATAATCGAAAAGTATATATATTTTTTCCTGAGCAGCATAGTTTTGTTTTTACTTTTAGCTCCTGTGTTCCAAAAATTTGAGCTAATGGAATAAAAAAATATTTTTGGAATATGCAATTTTTTTCAGGAACATGGCTTGAAACAAATCTTTAAACAAAAAATTTTTTGAATTTTTTCTTACTGGTCTGAATTTTGAATCTTCTGTATGAAACAAGGATTGTTTTTAAGGTGGTTTTTTTAAATACTTTTGGCCAGAATACGTGTGAGAAGATTTTTTCGAATGCTTAAATTTTATGTGCGGTTATCAAGGTGTAAAATGTAAAAATCTATTATATATTTAAATGCGGGCTTCACTATCTCGCCATGCTTAAGCTTTTTCAACGTATTATTTTTGCATGTTTAAGCTATATCGTATTTTGCAATGGTTATGATTTTTTTCGATTTTCCAATTTGATTTTAGTGGTTATTTTACCGAGTTTAAATTAAGCAGCCAAATATCGAATTAGGGCTTGCGAATTTGGCCTCCAATTTTGAATGCCCGAATCATTTTAGTTAACGAGATAAGACTATTTTTGAGATTTTTTCAAAACTTTTTAGAAATTTCAAATAACAAAATAATTTAAAAAACTTGAAGTTCCCAACCCTGTAGTTGGGTCCTGTCAGAGTACTCTCAAAGATTGCGAATCTTGCGAAACTTAAATAATTATTATTTTTTGAAAATCTGAAATTCCCAACCTTGTAGTTAGGTGCTGTCAGTAAGGAGTTGCAAATCTTGCCTCCAAATATGACTGTTCAAATCCTTGAAGTTTTCGAGATATGACGATTTTTGTGATTTTTTTCAAAAAATTTTCAGAAAACTTATATTAATTGTTTTCGCAAAATCTGAAATTCCCATCCCTGTAGTTGGGTCCTGTCAGAGTACTCTCAAAGAGTGCGAATCTTTCCTCCAAATATGACTGCTCAATTCTTTGTTGTTTTCGAGATGTGACGTTTTTTACGATTTCTTAAAATTTTCAGAAAGTTTAAATTAAATATTTTTCAAAATTTGAAATTCCCAACGCTATAGTTCGGTGTTGACACGGTACTCTAAAGAGCTGCAAATCTTGCCACATGCGCCTGCTAAACGCGACTGCTCAAATGCTTTTAGTGTTCGAGGAACTTATCTACAAAGAAGATGAAGATACAGCCTTATTGTCAGAGTACACCCAGGCGTCTTAAATCTTGCCTCTTAATATGAATACTAAAATCCTTTTAGTTTCCGAGATAAGACGTTTTTTTTTCAAATTTTTTTCCGGTAAACTTAGTTTTAAAAAATGCACAAAATTTTCAGAAACTTTTAATAAATATTATTTTTTAAAGATCTGAAATTCTCAACCCTGTATTTGGGTACTGTCAGAGTACTATCAAGGATTGCGAATCTTGCCTCCAAATATGGCGGCTCAAATCCTTTAGTTTCCAAGATGAGACGTTTTTTTTCAATTTTTTTTCCGGGAAACTTAGGTTTAAAAAAATTCACAAAATTTTGAATTCCTAACCCTATCAGTGAGGACTCTCAGTGGTTGCAAAACTGGCCTCCAAATTTCTCCAGAGGCCCATTAAGTTTTCGAGATGACGCTTTTAAAATGGGAAATTAAAAATAAGTAAAAAGTTCGAAATTACCAACCCTGTAATTGGGTATAGTCAGCGTACACTAAAAGTTTGCAGATGTTGTTTCCAATATATGCGGTTTTCGAAGCACCGAAGGTGCGTTAAACGCTAGTTAACCTTGATCCGATCATTTTTAGCAGATGCATTTTGAGTAACTCAATCTGAAAAGAAGATAAAGGGAAAGCAATTTCTCGCCAGGTTGACAATATATTCTTCAAATTTTTTCAGTGCTTAAATCATGACAAATATTTTCTGGACAACTAAGTTTTATTGAGGCTTCAAATTAGGCCGAAAAAAATTAACCTACGACGCCAATTTTTTTTCTCCATTTCTTGATTACTCTTTATATTAGGTCCAGCGCACAAAACTAGAACGGTTCTTATTATCCTGGGTTTTAAAAATTAGACTTGTTAGTACGATTTGCAAAAACCATTCCAAAAATTACTTACATTAGTTGCCGCTTGATACAAGTTTCTCGATTTTCAGCTACACATCAACAGAAAAAACTGATGTGGTATTTAATTTCAGAAAATCTTCTCTCAGAAATTTTGCGAATCAACGTTAAATAAATTTGTTCAATTTTTTTACGCTTGCAAATAACAAGCGTTATCAATCAGGAGTATAACCTTTTTTTGGTTAGCAACTAGTTTAACAGAATAACAGGAATCATTTTACCATTGGTTCATCTGAAATTAACAGTCAAACGTTAACTGGCGCAGAAGTAACGCATCTGTCTAAAAACAAAGGTCAGTAATTTGAATCCAGCCAGAATCTGTTTTTTTTT